ACCAACTGTTAACGACTGCCACATCTGGAAAATCAACATACATCTATATGATGGGGGTTTATAGAACATGTGAGCTTTAAATCAAACGTTTAACATACGTATGGCACTCCGATTATTAATCTGGGTAAATCTAGGCCTAGCGGACCTAACCGCTTGCCATCGAAACATCTTACTCGAACAAAGAAGTGGTACACGTGAGCCAGACCCATCACCCATCTGTAAAAAAAGCAGGTAGACTAGTCGCCCGTAGATTCAGTGTACCCTTTGACCTACCAAACATGTGCCAAGACGGAGAAGGCGGAGTTGCCGACGAGTCTCAATTACAAAACTAAATAAAATGTAAAAAAAAAAAAAAAAACATCGCTACCTCTTCTGTACACGACACCTATCACGAACACGAGCTCTTTACGATGCTGCAAACATGTCCCCGCGATAAGTTAGTAATCAAATGACAAGTTGTTAGGAAAAGCGACGGTATTGGCCTATAAAAATTGCCATCCGATGGAATAGAAACACCTCTGGCGTACCCTATCAACCTATCTGGGGCTTGCATTCGCCTAACTCTCCATGGCAACAAGCTAGACCCGTTTGCAACTTCCACTAGTCGCTGCCGTTGATGCTCACCCCCCCCCCCCCCTCCGCTTGTTCCCGCAATCCAGGCACCAGATCTAGTCAAATTACTCTTTGTACTGCGTGTTATTTTGCGGTGGAAGTCTTTAACTTTTCTGTGATTGAGAGGATTGGGACATGAAGGAGAAATCAGTTGTACAAGTCATTACCTCAATAAGCAACAGGTTAATATCACATAAATAAACGCAAGAATATGTATACATATTATAAACATATATACAGACTACAAAGACAAACATGAAAGAAAACTATACATAACGTTTATCCACACTTAGTTACCAATCTACACAGAGGACATTCACGCCATGTCCGAGGCTCAAGGACTTTGCTAGAGGGGATCAGTTATTCCGCGCATGATGGAACGACAGCTGAGCCTCATATACCAAGCGAAGACAATTAATCTGCAAGTAGCTTACGTAAAACACCTCCCTCCACATTGCCCGTTATATGCAAACATAGGTTGGTGACAGGACTATCGATTTCCATTTTCAAATTCTGCTGCAACAAGTATCATAAGCACTTTTTCCGGCCCTGACTGCAGTATATACCAAGGTCTAAATAAGTACTTATTTAAACCATGGTATATACATGCACAAATCAGGTCGAACGCACACACACAGATATACGCATACATAAGTATCAATTCATACACACGTACACATACACATATATCTTTCACTTATAATTATTTTTTGGGAGATGTCAATAGCTGCTTCGCTCTTTTCAGCATGTATGGGGATAGACATTGCTCTCGCCCCGCTCTCCCCGCGCCCTTAGTCTCGACCAGCTTCTGCCAAGTCCCCCACCCATTAACGAAGCCGGCACTGTCTCCCCACACGTTTGGAAACCTTGATTCCCGGCTGGCAACAGGGGGACGCGGGGGTCCTCGCTACCCTCATGGCCCCGACCCCGACGCGCTCCTCCCGACGGCTTTTACTCCCTAATCCTCTGGTTATTTTCATATTCCTTTCAAGATTGGCAGAGATGATATGTCTAGCGTGTAATTAGCTTCATACAGCACACGGAACATTATTTGTCGGTCAAACATGTTTAAACGGTTTAGTAACAAAAATCTTTAAGGGAAAGATATTCATCGAATAGAGGTATTTTTTCACTTCAAAATATCTTGTACTTACATGCTTCTGCTGATATGCTTGTGGATTCGTGCGTCTCATAAACAATATACAAGTAAATCTATATAATATATATATATTATATATACATACATACATACACACACACACACACACATATATATATATATATATATTATATAACATATATATACATATATATATACATATATAATATACATATATATATATAATACATATATATACATATATATATAATATACATATATATACATATATATACATATATATATATATATATATACATATATATATACATATATACATATATACATATATACTATATATATATATACATATATATATATAATATATATTACATATATATATACATATATACATATATATTAATATTACATATTAATATATACATATATATATACATATATATATACATATATATATACATATATAAATATAATACATATATATACATATATACATATATATATATATATATATATATATATACATACATACATATACATATACATATATATATATACTATATAATACATATATATATACATATACATATATATATACATATACATACATATATATATACATATACATATATATACATATATATACAATATATATATATATACATATATACATATACATATAACATATATACATATACATATATACATACATATACATATACAATATATATATATACATATATATATATACATATATAACATACATAT